GAAGGTACATGAAAAATATGTTTGATTAATCAGTGTTAACTTTGTGCTTATACAAGGCTTCTAATCTTTATTTAATTTTGTATGAAACTAGTGTTTGATGGGTGCATTTGGAGCTTGCTGGAAAGAAGGAGAGAAAAGGACAAAGCAGTGGAGTCTGCAATAGAATCTTTGCCTTTCTTGAGAAGCAGATTGAAGGAAAGAAATATTTCGGTGGAGAAGAAATAGGATATCTGGATCTCACATGGGTTGGATCCCTCACTGGCTGAAGGTAAGGAACAAGTTGGAGAACGAAGTGGTTGATGGTGAGAAATTGCCATTGCTGATGAATGGTGCCACAACTTCATCCAAATTCCACTCATCAAAGAAAGCCTTCCCCCAAGAGAAAAGCTTGTCACCTATTTCACCGCTAGTGTAGGCTACATGCGCTCTTTGCACCCACAACTAATAATGAGTTGATCTTAACTTACTCTCTAGTTCATGGTTTTTGCTTGGGCCCTCTTGGAAAGAGGATATATAACTAGGTGCATTTTGATTTTTAGGGTTTAATTGTTGCTTCTGTTCTCCTGTTTTGTTTTTTGTGTTTTAGTTGTTAATGTTTGATATGAAAAAAGGTTATTATTCTATGATATAAATATTTATAACATGTGACTTTTTCGTTGTCATCAAAGACATTAGATAACCTCGAAATTCAGTTCCATTAAGTAAGTAGTAACTGAAAGTAGTTTCTGTTGAAGTAGCTGCAAACTTAGAGGATAGTTTTAGAGAACCATTGATGGTAACAACATATAGAAAATGCTCAAAATAGTTCACCAACAGTAAAGAATGTTTACGTGACATGACTCTATTAAATGTCCGAGTACCTATTACTCAACTTATTTCCAAAATTCAGATCACAATGACACAGATGCCAATGAGATTGACATTAAATGACTAAGGGAGTATTTGTCCAGCTTATGAAAATTACTTATAATAACGTGCTTATAGTATTGAAATTTTAAGCAATTACTGTTTGGTTAAAATACTTATACGTGACTGATAAGTAGTTGACGCGTTTGGTAAATTGTGCTTATAAGTATTTTTTATAAAATAACTAAAAAATGTACTATATTAACAAGGTTATCTATGGAATTTTAAAATTAAACAAGGATAATGTGGTAATATACTTGGTCAAACTACTTATAAGCAGAGTGCTTATAAGCAAAAAAAAAAAAAAAAATTATTTTTTTTTTTGCTTATAAGCTTGACTTATAGATCAAAAAGTTATAACAAATATGTCAGTTTAATTTTTGAGCTTAAAACTAGTTTGACCAGTTTAAGCTTAGACAACACACCCTTAAGCCGCTGGTGTGCAAACTTTTGGAGGAAATTGATGTATTGACTTGGATAAAATTAACTTTTAAAAGCTAACTCAAAGATGAGGATATCCAATCTAAATATACAATAATACCTTAGCAATTTAGATTTGATGACAGTGGAACAAATTCAACTGGAATAAATTGATTATATAATATTGAGTAGCGACATGTTCCCCAAAAATTAACGAAATGGCAAGTTTCCACTGTTTTCATTTATTCTAGATTTTTAGTCTGTTAGGTTATGACCCTGACAACCTGACAAACATGCTCCTCAGATTTTATAAGTATTTACATATTTGAAAACTCTATGTGAAAACCTAACAAACACACCCTTGCAGCTACTATTGCAGCTTCTGCGACTGCTATGGCAATAGTATGGCGGCGGTACAGAACTGTGTTTTTCTCTCTTTTATTTTTTTACTTTTTTCTCCACCCATCCCTCTCCACCCACCAACACTCGTCAAGCTCTCTCACCCTCTTTTCGTCCGCAAAGCACACCTCCTCCCCTATGGCCAAAACTCCACCCGACCCACCTTCCATCCATCTAGTGCAACAACCTCCCATCCTAGTAGCCAACTGTTACATCCCACCACACAATATCACTGCCATAGACACAAAAACAAAAAAAAAAAAAAAAAAAAAAAAAAAAAAAAAAAAAAAAAAAAAGCCGTTTTTCGAACACTTTATGCGCAATCGGGAAAAGGTTGAAGGTGAGAGTTTTGGGGAGCACCAACGACCGGAAATCAACAACACAGCCTCAAAACACTTCAGAAAACCTTCCTCAACGGTCTTCCAATCGAAACAAACAAAAAGTTCGAACAAATCAAACCCAATTCATCTTTCACACTCAGAAAACCCTAGGGTGGTCGTTGTGTCGTGTTCATCACACTGATGAGGTCGTGATGGGCCGCGCAAGCACATCTTTCCTGGACACCTAGCGAATTCCCTGCGAGGTACGGTCCTTCAAATATAACTCCTACGATGTAAATACCCTTGCAACCACGACGCTTCTTGCTCGATTCCTCTTGATTTTTCTACCTTGCGGGAGCAGAGTTATCAACATATTCTTTAAAATGCCCCTGCTTGATAAGATCCTTGATTGCCTGCTTGAGAGCTCGGTACTCATTAGTGGAAAACATCGTCCTCTAACTACAGCTCTTTCCACAAATCTGTCTGTGGACAAACTCCCGCAATGATGAGAGTCCTAACGGACTCCTTGGGAGTATGAGCTACTTTATGGAGCTCCCTAAGGTAATGATTACTGAATCTGGGAGTGGGTCAGGTTGCCGTGCAAATCCTTCTTTGTATCTCGTTATTCACTTGCTCGAGTGATTTACTCTGGGTGCGCAGGGATTAGACACGTGGAGCACCTCCAGCCTTTCATTACTCCGGCGCACACCCACTCCACTGGCAGGAGCATGCTACTCATGTCAGCACGATATGTGACTGCGTCTGAATGGTTGCAGGATCTACCTAAGCTCTAACCTCTTGCGCTGACAGGACTCTGCGTCAGCCCTACTTTTCTAGGCATAACATTATGATTAACATCTATGGTAAGGAAGAAGCATGATTCATGCAATGGAATAACCTTCAAAAAATTCAATCCCAGAACAATGTCCTAAGAAGCTACTAACATCTTTCCCCTAAAGTTACGAGTGTCCAACTACTTGAAGATGTCTTTGACAGTAGTTCTAAATTTTTTGCAAAATGATTATGAAGAATCTAGTTAATAGCACTGTTTCAGCTCCATTTAAACAGTAAAACCAGTGTAATGTAATGCCTCCCATAAACTCACACCACCACTTTGCAGTGTAAGAACCTTAATACTCGGTAGCATTTACTTTCCCAGTAAGGGAGATAATATTAGAGAGAGAGAGAGAGAGAGAGAGAGAGAGAGAGAAGAGAGAACAGTTTCAGTTGTCAAGTTAACTTCAAATGTACAAGCATATCTAGCTGTACATGTAAATATATAAATATATACCATCCGTGCTAGAATTACATTGTTGAATTCTGACTATAAATTCAAAAAGAATAAGAGGCAGTGACACGGCGACACCGACTACAAAATGCAGTTCCCCCACTTCTGCCTCTAGCAACTGCTATTTCCTCATCAATGTAAAACCAAATAAAGAAAGGATCCTTGTTGCTTGGCTCTCTGTCATTTTTTTGGCCCAGACTGATTCCAGAGGTTTCAAATTCCCAATTTTGATGCGAATACATTCAAAAATGAAGGCCACTATTCTCTTCTTCCAAGAAAATCTTGTTGGAGTTGTCGACTACTTCAGCATTAATGGGTAATGGAGACGCACTCGGGGTCCCGCAAGAAGATTGTAGATAAAATAGGAGGGAGTCGTGCGTTCAAAGAAGCTCAACCTTTGTGAATGGATATGGGCGCTTCTACATCCAGCCAGAGAAGCTTTCATTAAATAATTTTACTACAATCCATTAATCAATCATTCAACGCCGTGCCCTTTTCTCTCCTTCTACTATTAATGTTTGATATGAAAAAGAAGGTTATTATTCTATTATATAAATAGTTATAACATGTGGCTTTTTTTTTTTTTCATCAAAAGCTAATTAAAAAAAAAAAGTTGTTTATCTAGAATCACAAACAATAAAAACTTAGAAAATATGAAATTTATTTTCTACGAATAGATAAAACCACTTTAAACTACTACTACTTTATTTGTTTCAAAGTGTTTGTCTCAATTATTGATTTCTGTTTATAATTTTGTATGAAAAGTTTTGATTTAAAAAGGAGTTTTTGTTTAATGAGAGAAAAGAATATATTGAAAAAAAGTAAAAGAATATTTTTATTTAAATTTCTAATTTATTATATTATTAGAAGTACCCACGTCAGTTTCTTTTGACTATTTACTTTATTTTATTAGATACCATTAGATTGTCTCATTCCAAGGTTTTAGTTTTAGCAGTATAGTGCTATTTCATTTCTCTTAAACTACCTGATTTTCGCTCTCCTCAAAGAAAACAGGGCTGAATCCATTGTATTTGGCTCTGCCACTGAAATTTTGAAGAAGATAGGTTCCCTTGCTGGTGGGGAATTGTCGTTGCTGTGGAATCTGGATAGTGATTTAAGAAGACTTCAGCGAACCATGAGCGCCATCAAAGCTGTGCTGTTGGATGCCGAGACAAAGCAGACTCAAAACCATCAACTGCGTGACTGGCTTGCCAAGCTTAAGGATGTTTTTTATGATGCTGAGGACGTTTTAGATGAATTCGACTTTCAAGCTTCCAGGAGATCACAACAGGGGAGCTCAACATTAAAGGTATGTCAATGCTTTTCAAGCTCTAGTCCTGTTTAAAATTGGTCACAAGATCAAGGAGATTAGAGAAAGGTTAGATGAGATCGCAGATGATAGGCGAAATTTTCCTTTTCTTCTTATTGAGAGTCATGTTGACGTGAGGCATGTAATTCCCAAGGAGAGGGAGACTAATTCCTTCTTCCAAGCTTCTAATGTCATTGGAAGAGAGAAGGATAAAGAAAACATCATAACCTTTTTGACACAACCAGGCGATGTTAATGTCTCCGTCATTCCCATAGTTGGGATTGGGGGTTTGGGTAAAACCACTCTTTCCAAAATGGTTTACAATGATTAGAGGGTCTATAGGCATTTTAAGTTAAAGATGTGGGTATGTGTTGGCGATGACTTTGAAGTTGTTAGGTTGATTAAAGAAATTATTTATTCTGCAACACATGTGGATTGTGCGAAGTTAAAAGGCGATGAAATACCCAGGGGTTTGCAAGAAACTTTAACTGGTCAAAAGTTTTTGCTTGTTTTAGATGATGTTTGGAATGAAAATCCAATGAAATGGATGGATCTGAGAAATTTACTGCTAAATGGTGCCAATGGAAGTAAAATTATTGTTAGTAAACGCAGTAAAACTGTTGCCGAGATAATGGGCACCGTTTCCCCAAATTTCATAGAATTACAAGGTCTTTCGCCTGAGGATTCTTTATTGTTGTTTAAAAGGTGCGCATTTAAAGATGGAGAAGGAAAAGATTTTCCAAACCTCATTAAAATCTCCAAGGACATTGTGGGAAAATTTAGCTCTGAGGACTTTAGGGAGCTTACTTTTTGCAAACACAGATGAAGATGAGTGGTTAAGAATAAAAAGAAGTGACACTTGGCAGCTGAAACAGGAAAAGGCAGGCATTTTACCAGTACTAAAACTAAGCTATGATAATTTGCCGTCTCACTTGAAGCAATGTTTTGCTTATCTTTCCTTATTTCCAAAGGATTATTTCTATGACAGTGATTACGTGACCGGATATTGGATGGCACATGGACTCTTGCAACCTCTAATGATGATATTGAAGAGTTAGAAGATGTTGCTGTGCGTTGTATGAAGGATTTACGGAACATTATCATTTATATTATAGGTTTAAAATGCATGATCTTGCAATATCAGTGGCAAAAAGTGACTATGTTTTTACAAAATCCAGAAGCCGAATAGTTGATGGGAGCGTTCGGCACTTTTCAATTATTGACTCTGATTTCAACGCTAAAAAAACTCCAGAAGTTCTAGATAATAGATCAAAGACAGTTCAGTCCCTTATTTTTCTGCAAGGAAACGAGCATATTGGTGTATCATGTATCCATACATGCATATCCAAATTCAAGCACCTGCGACTACTATAATCCAAAAGACTCACAACTAAAAAACGCTCCTAATTATCTCAAAAACCTTTAAAACCCTTAAAAGTTAAAACTAACACAAACCACCCCAAAAAGTAGGGGTGTTCAAAAGAGTCGGTTGGAACCGGAACCGGCAGGTATTTTGAGTTTGGTTCCAGTTCCTACCCAGAACCAGTTGTCAATAGGCAGGTTCCGGTTTCAAATTTTTAGAACCGTTATTATGTGGTTCCGGTTCCAGTTCCTATAGTTAGGAACCAGAACCGGAACCAGAAACCAGGAACCGAGACTAATATAAAATAAAATTAAAGATTAGGGGAGTTAATATAAACTTTTGTAGAAAAAGTAATGTGAATACATTTATATTTATATTTCATAACATTTAAAGTAAGTTGGTTTGACTTTTGAGAATCTACCTTTACAAAGTAATGGAGTTTGTAATTTTGAATTTATAATTTGTAATTTTATTTTTGTTAACAAGTGTCAAGTGGGGGGTATTTGTAAGTTTTTAAGGGTTTTTTTGCCATTTTAAAAACTTTTGGGGGCTCATGATTTTTATAGGGTACCCAAAATCGGAACCGGAATCGTTGTTACAGGTTCTGATTCTGGGTACCTAGGAACCGGAACTGTCAGTTCTGGTTCTGGTTCCAAATTTTAAGGAACCGTCGGTTCTGGTTCCTTCAAAAAGTGCAAGGTACCCGGAACCGAACACCCCTACCAAAAAGTACAGATATTTTACATTTCATTTAGCTACCACCAAAGTCACGGAATTCAGCTAAATAACCGATTCAACACACACAAGTGGGTTTATGCAGTCGAAAGAAGCAAACTAGTTATATCACAATCATATGATCTGTATCCAATAGGTTTCATTGATAGGTAAATAAATAAAAATTTTTGTTATCTAAAAATCAATAAAACCCCTAAAGTTTAAAAACTAATAGAAGGAAAAAAAAAAATGAATGAATGTTATATGAAGAAAGGATACTGAGTAGCGATGAAATCTATGAAAAATAATTTTTTAAAAAATTATAAAAAAAAAAGAACAAAGTGGTAAGTTTGTGTTGTGTTGTTCTTGACTGGTTTTTACAACCAGGATGTTCCATTCTTTTCTTCTGTTTTTGTTGTTGATACTTGGTAGTTTATTTGAAGCAATAGTGGAAGACCGGAAAAGCTGGACTGATTGTGATAGGGACAGACGACTATGATTTATTAAAAAACTAGATAGAAAGCCCGCGCATTGTGCTTGTATATTTGTAGAATTTTTTTTACATTATTATTAATTGTTTGGCTGGCTTGAAATTATTTGCGTTGAAGTTGATTTTATATTGAATTGATAATTAAAGAAATAAATAATAAAAATATTATATACCAAATAATGAGTATTAAATTTGTACATATTTTAATTATATATTTAATGTTGGTGTAAAGATACTGCACAGGTTCTAGTAGTTGTATCTCTACTCATTTAACACATAAAACAAACTCCTTGTTCTTAACCTTCTTTCTTTATCTTTTTCTTTCTGAAAATAATAATAATAAATTGAAGTTTTTGGCCAAGTTGTGTCATATTGTATTGCACCACAAAATCTTTTAACTCTTTATAGTAAAATTACTAGTACAAAAAATTTTAAGCTATATATTTATCAACTTAAGTGTCCAAAAACAAATGAACAACTTTCTTACTTTAGCACATAAAACATATGTAAATGAATCTAACTTCTACAATTCAATCTTATTATCTCGATCTATCATTTTCTCTTCTTTCATCAAGAATAGAAACCTATGAATTTGAGTACTTGAGTTTAGGTTGGTGAACATGGTACTCGGTGAAATAGCCGCGAATATTATAATACCACTAAGCAAGGCTAACTCCAATCCTAAACTATTAACAACCATGGATTATGGACATTGTTTAGATACACTTCTCTTGCTTTGTAAAAATTTTAGTTTCTTTAAAAGACCTGTTTCTGTGGTCACCATAGCCAACCCATATGTGTAGAGACCAAGGAAAATGCGCCATGGCAATACACTAATTCTTGATGCACGCACCTCCCCTCAATGCCAAAAGCTCAAGAAACCCACTATCCACTACAATTTCAATCAAAGTAGCTGCAACATTGGTATACTATTCTCTCCAATGTTATGTAATACCAAAACTAATCTTAATTTCTATAAAGTTTATACACCATCACAACAAAATTTGTTTTATAATAAAACTTTGTTTGCTCCTCCTGGATTTCTTCTCTTTCGGTAAGTTATTTGCAATTGTCATTTTTCAACAACCAAATTTCACAAAATCTCAGACTTAAATTATTCAGTATACTCCAACAATATTTGTGCATTCCAGACACATAATTAGCTTCCAATGATCCAGTAACTTTAAAGATCAAATTCAAGTTATATGTGATTTTAACAGTCCTAACTTGTGATATTTGCTAGACTTGGAACTGAATTTGATGAGTCTATGGACTGAACATCAGGCCTTTCTAGCTCAAATTAATCTAATTCTAGAATTTAAAACCACATAATCTGGAAATTTGAGAAATCCTGCTCTCTATAGCTGTAAAAATGGTAGATCTCTACTTTACAGTTACCAATTGAACAATAAATAAATGAAATAGAACAATTAAGATTGAAACTAACAGAAATCACAGAGTAAGATGATATCCAGATACAATCACAATTTTTCAATTTAAGAAATAACACAAAAGCATAGCACAGGATAGTCACTTGGGTGGTTTCAGGATCCATGGTAAAGATTGCTTCTTGTAAATTACCAAGAAACGAATCCATGATTAGAGCACTCGATACCATTATAAAACCAATCATACTAAAATTTGGTGAAGTTTGTGCATCCGCTAAGGTAAAAGGAATCATCCCTACAACTAAAAGTATTGTAGATACATATTCATGAACTGGGTATTTTCGTTTGAGGCTCGATATGAATGCGCCCATGAACATTACTGGCAAAACTTGATATTACAAAATAAATTTCCAATTATAGCCAAATTGATCTCGTTTACTTGATTCACATAGCAAGAGTCAATGAGCTAATCTGAGTAATTTACATCATTACAAATTAAGAGACCCAATTTGACTATCAAACAAAAACTAAAGTTATCAAAATGTCTGGTAAGGAAAATTGTTATTTTTTTCAACATGAAATTAAAAAAAGTAATGGAGTTAAATATTTACCTTGTGGATTTGAACGTGAGTTGTGTTGGATAGTTAAGAAAGCCAAACCATGAGAATCCATTACAACTGTAGAGAGCTTTACATAAGTCTTCTATGGATTCACCATCTGTTTAGTGGTGAAACCTTTAGGATAAATGAGAACGATATAGACAAATCCTTGAACAAATGTGAGGTACCAACCAAAATTGGGAAAACAAAAGGTGTCCATTGATCAAAATTTACAAACTAATCCTTGAAATTTCAAATCACTAATTAACAAATACTTAAAGAAAATCATTAAAATATTACCAATTACAACAATACTTATATGCAAATTATACCTGAATTGGAGCCTATTGTATACATATTCTTGCAAATTACGTAATAATCAGTGTACAATCAAGCGGATCAAATAATTAATTACTGAAAAAGTTAATTCTCAACTCTATTTGGAGGTTTAATAGAGTTGAGAAACTTGAGAAAAAATATATATATATATTTTCAGTACATATCTTTTCCTTGAGCTGTATTCCTCAAATTTCTCGATGACAAAAACATATTTCACTAAACTAAAACCTCATATCTCTTCAACCGCCATATCGACATTGCTTAAAAAATGGAAGGAAAAATAACTTAAAACTCCAAGTTCCATTTTTCTTTCCTTGGTAGTCAATTTTCTCTGAGATCAAGCATAATCTAATAAAACTAAAAATGAATTATTCACTTACAGCTTCATCAATTTCTCCAAGGAATGTAATCTTCTGTCCATTTTTCATGCCCTTCTCAACTACTAATTCCAATACCTTCTTCTCTTGAACAACTTTCTCATCCTTACACACTGTGCAACGATCCTTGTCACTAAGAGTTTCTCCAATCCAATTGATCCATCGTTCTTCATTAACCTATTCCTAGGTTCTAGTACCTACAAATAAAGCAATCACACATAAATTAACAAATCATAAATACAATGCCTGGTTGAATAAAGCTATTATCTTTACATTATAACTTACCCAGTAAGGGTACCAAGTCCTCACCATTGGTCTCAAAAGTGATAAATCTATGCCTTTACAAAAATTAAAGACAACCCATCAAAGACCAAATGTGAAATCAATAGCAGAAACTCAAGATAAACCGATTAGGATGATACAAATCATTATCACTACAAGAAAACTGACATTTAGCAACCAATTTTTTAGCAACTAACCAGAATTAGTTGCAAAAAGACTACATTTACCAACTAAATTGACATCAATCGAGCAAAGAGGATTAAAATTTTGGGGC